CTCCCTTCCAGCCAGGACTTCTGTGTGTTGCCACTAGATTTTCAGCACAGCACCCAGTTTTGAGTCCATTCTGAGCTGGCAAAATCCACCTTGTTACCTCTGCAGCGGTCTCAGCTTTTTCCATTTCTTCATGTGGCCACTGGTGCCAGTGGGAAACATCATTTCCGCAGTGCTGTTTTTCTGCGAGATATTGGTGACAGATAACATTCTTCAGAGAATGGCTTTGCAGTTTTTCCCACAACTCTGGGTACGAGTCCAGATGAAAGCTAGCTGCTTAGGAAGGGACTGAGCTGAATTCAGTTACAGAATCATTTTTGCTTTTTTTCCTGCAAGGGGTGTCCTAGGGCTCATGGGGCCAAACCTCTCGAGGCAAGAGACGAGGCAATTTAATGAAGAAATACAGTTCTGCATGTGTGAATATCCCACGTGGCATCCGTGCTTGAGTCATTCAAAACTTTCCTGAGTGCCTGTGCCAGGCATACAGCAAGTGTTTAGGCTCGGCACGATGTGACTGTGAATTACTTGTCATTGTTTTTGAGGCTGCAGCAGTGGGTCATACCCACCACCTCTGGCCTGATGATGATCCCCACGTTATGAGGACTTTTTGTTGCCAGACACCAAAAGCAAGGCACAAAGCTCTATTGTTTTCCCGTCTCTTCAGCTCTCTTGGCAGACAGCAGGGAAAAAGTACAGCAGTGGTCACTGTGGGTCTCACGCCAGCTTTTATCACCTTCAGATGTTTGCTGTACTTGTGCCATGGCCCTGGAGCTCGCATGCCCTTTGCAATCCAGCCTGTGTTGCATCCCAGTAGCCCTCCACCACAGCAGCCTCTAAAGGGAGAGAGCAGCAGGTGACTCCTTTAAGCAGAGGTGCACGCTGGTGTCTGTGCTGTGACAGCAGCTGCCATCCGATCTGAGGAAAACCATCTTTATATTCCTGTAACTCATCACATGGGGATTATGCAAATTCCCTGCCTGCTGGGGATGCGGTGTGGATTGGGTCACGTTACCGTGCTTGGGTCTTCTCCATTGCAAGATGCTGTAGAAATGCAAAGTGTTCTAGCATGAGAGGTGTCAGATAAACTGGGAGGAAATTGCTACTGCTGCTAACGCACCAGTGTTCATTCATACAAAATTAAGGAGGTGGAGGACAAGGCTATGCAGAAGGGCAGTGTGGGAGCCACTCGGACACGTGTCCTGTTTTCTCACGTCTTTTCTGGCAAAGGGAGTTCACCCGGCTCACATAAAGGATCTCCTATTATCTGCAGAGTTGCCTTAGCTTAAAACTTAAAACAGCCACAGGTCTCCATGCAGGCATCACCCTGTGTGGCATATTTGCTTCAGCCCAGCATGACCAGAGCCAGCTTTAAGCTAAGGCAAATAATGATGAATCCAGAGAAAGGCTTACATTGTTTCATCACACTTCTTTGAAGTAAATATACCAATGAAACCCTAACCATTTCCTAAAGCTTCCACATCTCAGGCAGATGTGACCTAAGATTGCCTATTTTGTCATTTACAGCCCAGATCCTTACTTCTTCCTGCATTTAAATCAAAACTGAGCACTAGAAAAAGAGATTTCAGCGTTTTGCATCTCTGCTGCCCAGGAAAGCCCAGCTGTTCTCAGGCTGTGTAGTTCTATTTTGAGGATACCAGGAGGAAACATGAAAGGAGAGGTTCCCATGGGCTTAGGGGCCAGGTAGAAGCCAACAAGGAGGGTTTTCAGGAGAAGGAAGAAGCAGACATCTTAAAGGGAGGGACAGGAAAGAGAATATGCAGAAACACCCCTTTCCTCTGCCTGGGCAGCTTCTGGGATGTCACTCGAATGGCATCCTGAGACAAAATAGAGGCACATTGTTTGAGTTGTGTGGCTCTTAAAGGCAATACCTCCAGGGAGAATGAACAGAGGGAGTGGGAACCTCTGCGTTTCCCCACCACGCACCACCCATGCCTTATTTTATATCTTGCTGCCAGGTTTGTGCAGCTCCAGCTCTGCAGCAGCACCTGGCACTGGGCAACAGCCTTGCCACAGACCCCTAATGCGAGAATCCTGGCTGATAGCAGTGATTGCTCCCAAACTGGAGCAGGCAGAAACTCCTTTCTGCCTCCCCCTTGGCCCTCTTTGGCTCAGAGGCTGGTGGAGAGGGAGCTCCAGGCCCCCAGCACTGGCACCGAGCTACAGGGCCCTCACCAGGGCTGGAAAAGGCTGAAGGGGCCTGTGGCTGGGCTCCCTCTGTAAACCCCATCTCCCCAGTATCCAGCAGCTCTTGACACTGCTCAGCACCCTTCCTTTCAGAGCTGAAGATGTTTCCTGCCCTAAAGTAAAAATCCTTTGTTTCCAGACTGCCTGCTTCAGTCTTTTTCCACTCCCTTTTAAAAAGGAGCGGATGGGATGTGTTAAAGTCCAAATTTGCCTCCATCCCACACAGATGCAGTGTTCTCATTTCCATTAGTGTCATCGATGTGCATGAGAAATGCTTGGTGAGGAAATTGAGGTTACTGAGAGAAAAAAGTTACCCACATGAGACACAACTCCCTGCGGACGTGTGTTGCCGTGTGCCCTGTCCCAGACCTTGCCCCACATTTGAAGTAGAGCAGACTGCAATTAAAACAGCAAACAAAGTGCCATCGACCCTTCAATGTGAGCCTAAGGTGGGAACTGGCCGTGCTGAAATATTAATTCATTTCCTCAAGGTCACTCTGGGAGCTACGGGTTGAGCACTGAGCTGTGGGTGCTCCAGCCCTGGAAGTGTTCAAGGCCGGGTTGAATGGGGCTAGGAGCAGCCTGGTCTGGTGGGAGGTGTCCCTGCCTGGGCCAGGGGGGTTGGAATGAGATGATCTTTAGGATCCCTTCCAATCCAAGCCATTCTGTGGTTCTGTGTGATTCTGTGAAGGTACAAAGTACACGGGTGTCCTGCCAAGCTGATGAGACACTTCTCAGGCTTGAAAACAAAAAGGGTTAGAAATCTGTTGCTATCAACCCTTGCCAGGCTTCAAACAAAAGCACCAGCATCCTTTTTCATTTCTATCCTCTCTGGGCCCCTCTTTGTATGATTAAGATGTTCCTGCATCTGCAGGCAGTTTTGCTACCAGTGCTCAGCCCTGTGTCTTTGCAGAACTACCACGAGGGGCTCAGTTTAAAAGGTCTTCTGTGATGGCAACTTTTGTTTCACCTAAAATGAAGATCCCAAGTTAAATCCCACAGAAAGGAAACCTTCAGGCCAGTGCTTGTTCTGGAGAGACACCTGCTGGCAGAGCCCTAGAGCTGAGCTCTGAAACGTGTTCATCCTCCCTTCTGTTTCGATGGAAGTCAAGCAGAAATAAAAACATAACAGAGATGCAAAAGAGGCCAGGGGAAAAGGTTCGCGCTAAAGGGGTGGAACTCAAAGCAAGAGCTTGACCCAGAGCCTGATCCCAGCTCCACCACCCCTTGTGTCTGTCCGAAGCAGAGCAGTCACAGGGGGACAGTGCTGAGCAGTAAAATGCTGCAGAAGACCAGCGGTCTAATATACTTGACAGTTAAAAGCCAGTTTTTAACTGTCCTTCCTGCCAGCACTCTCATTTTAGGAAAGCCAAAGAAACCCCAAATTCCCATTTGGTGTGGGCTGAATCGAAGTAAGCTGAAACAAGAGCACTCACGGGTAAGCTGGCTCAAAATCACATCTAGTTCTAGGCAGGAAAACCAAGGCATGTAACTGCATGTTACGTGTGGGGGCACACACGCTCCTCAGGAAGGATGTGTGGCTTGTTTGTAGAAATCCTGGCTATCGGTGCCAAGAAAGCACTTGCCTATTAGTTATTCTAACTCCTGTCAACTCTCCAGGAAAGATGAGTAGCAGATTTGGGCCAGTTTCCCCTCCATTTGCACAGGATCTGCTGGCAGGTGGATTAAATAGAAGTGATTCAGTTGAGAATTGAATGCTAGGAGCCCCCCAGAACTAAGCTGAAGCTCCTGATGGATGCTTTTGGGTTTTTTGCTCTTGTAACAGCAGCACGCTCTGTTCACTGCAATTACTCCCCCCAGGTGCTTCCCCACATACAGGATTTAAAGGAGAACACTCGTTAAGTGTTGGCCTAATTACTTCCCAGCCACTTGCCCACTTCCAGGAGTCTCTGTGGCTCCCGGTGGTTCTGGAGCAGATGTAAAGGACAGGCTTGGTAGACTTGAAGCAAATGACTCCATGGTTTAGGAGCAACCAGGAGACTGTGCTTTCCTAGGGCAAAGTGAACAGAGAGTACCTTTCTTGGGATGCAGCCAGGAGTGAATGCAAAGGCTGCCAGAGGCACTGCCAGCACTGAGCGTGACAGCTTTCCCGTATCCGTATGCCCTTCTGTCCCCCTGTCACTGTCCCTCCCACAGCAGCCACGATAAGATGTACTCAGGCACCTTAAAAAAAAAAAAAAAAAAAAAAAAAAAAGAGGCTGCTGACAATTCTTCAAACAGCACAAAAGCAGACCTGGTGTCGCTCCCTTCTGCTCTTCTTTTGATTTCATCACCCACACTCACCACTCGTCCTCCTCTCGTTGTGATGGGAATCCATCCCACAGCCATTTTACTGCATCCCTGCTGATGGTGGCTGGGCTCAGGGAGAGCTGCTCGAGCCCTGGGTACATATTACCAGTACGTCTTGTAAGTCTCTGGGGAGCGCTTTTCAATCAAAATGTGGCATGCTGCTAAAAATATAAACCAAAGAAACATGTTGGGAGGTTTTATCTGGGTCTGGCAAAACTTCACCAAAAGAGAGAGAGAGATAGATGGATGGATGGATGGATGGATGGATGGATGGATAGATAGATAGATAGATAGATAATTTAGAAACTGAGTTCAAATTACCAGAGTTTCTATGAGGATATTCTTTTTCTGGGTGCCAGTCTCTCTAAATAGGAAATTTGTAAAATGAGACCACATGTTCCATGTTTACAGGGAAAGGGAAAAAAATAGAGAAGCCAAAATCCCAGAGAAGGCATTAAAGAGAGCTTTGAAGTAAACCACAAATAAACTAAGAATAATATATATTTATTTAAAACACAAGCAGCCCCAGAGTTTGCTGTGCCATGAAATCCTCTTGGTTGTGACTATTGCTGCAGAGGCCAGGATATTATAACACAAGCTATTTCCAGCTTAGGATGGGTGAAAACATATAACATGACAATTACATTTTCTAAGCAAACCAGAGATCAGAGGATGTCCTCTGCTGGTGAGGAAGATGTTTTCAGTTTGGTTAGTCACAAATCACTCTGAGACTTGAGACCTGGTAGAGGAGTAGAGGACTCACTGGACACATACCAATTAATTTATGAGTAAAACCTGACAGGGTAAAATCTTATAGGATTGTATGCCATAGCCTCATTAAAATCCAAGCAATGTATTTTTTTCCAATTGCTCTTAGTGCTGCTTTCCAGTGAGAAATGCAGGAAGTAATAAAGATTTGTTGCCTCATAAAAATATTGTTCAAAAAAGCCAGGCTCTGACTGGTTGGCCTTGATCCGTACAGCCCTTCCTATCAGCCCTACACTGTGCCTTGCCAGTAAGAAATGTAAGAAATCAAACCAGCAACGTCACAGCGGCGCAGAGGGTTCCTTCTCGAGTCTAGAGGACATGTAAATGGGCTGTTGTGTCCAAACTGGAGGATTGTGGCTGGATTTTATTTCTTGCCACATGCACGTAACAGCCCTGTGCCGGCCTGCTCAGCCTGTTCCTCTTCTTCCCAGCCCTCTTCCACGAGTGTCCTTGTCACTTGTTGTCTGAGGCTTCCCCGTACACAAGATTTCATTTCCTCCATAACCAGTGCTGGAATCAAATTAGCAGTGACGTTACAGGATACAACTTGAATGTGCATCCTATACACCTAATTTGCCAATCTTCGAGACAAAAGTTGATGTCCTTGATTCTCAACACTGATTGAAACTGGAAGCTCAGAGAATAGCACCCCACCATGAGAACTATAATTCTCCCTAATATTCTGATAAACAGACGTTGAACTGAAAGCTTGTTGTCTTTTTTTTTTTCAGAACAAAGGAAAAAATATTCCAACTCCAATATCATTATGCATGAGACTTCACAGTACCATGTACAGGTGAGTATGCAATGAAATTTTATGGGACTGAGAGGCCTACGTCAGTGATAGATGCTGATAATGAAATGTATTTCATTTGTCCTGGAGTTTATTAGGTCAAAGACCAGCTGGGGAACCTTCTTACAATACACAAGTGTTGCTCTCCACACCCTGGGAGAGGCAAACAGCAAAGCTGCTCCATTCTTCCTTAAGGGAGGTGGGACTTCCCCATTGCCCTACTTCTTTTTCCCAGCTGCTGCATGCAGATAAATTTGCCTCCTGAGCTTCCCTCCGAGGGGTTGTAATTTCTAGCTCCTGGACTGCAGGGCATGCCTGCAGACAGCCACCCACTGTAATTCCCCTCCTTGTGCTGTGGGCCACCCTGGAGCAAGTGGCTGAGACCACGCAGATCCTCTCCATCCATGGAGCATGCTGCTGAAGCTGGGATCCTCGGGGCCTCTCAGATTCCTTTGTGACAAAGAGGGATGAAAGGAAAGAGCATATGTAGGTGAAGCACAGGAGTTTGTTCACCAAACATGCTTTGAGGAGACAAACTAAAGGACGAGAGAACAAACTACAGGAGAGCAGCAGAAGTCCTGAGATGATTCCTCTCCAAAGACTGACCTCACTCCTTCCTATGAGTCAGAGGCTTCGGGCTGGACTGGATCTCTTTCTTTCCTCTCACACACTGCCTGCTCTTTCTAGAAGTAACACCAACTCTCCTGCTGCTTTTATTTCTCTGCTGCTCTTCTCCAACTCCTACCTGTGAAGAGCAGCAGTCATTCCATTATGGTATGACACTATCTGAAAATCAATGCAAATAAACTCTGGTATAGCCCACAGATCCTCCCGCAAGGCTCCAACAGTTTTCCAGGGCACAGTTCTGGGTTGTGTTTAAATGCTACAGCAAAACAGAGGATTTGCTGGCTTCTCCCACCTTGTATTCCACATCTTATCTTACCCTACAACTATTCCTAGCTTGGATCCCTTACACTTCTTTGAACTTGAAGAGTGGGAAAGACTCCAATATTAGAGAGGCTGCTTTGGGCCTGGGGGAAGAGGTAGAGAACGGTTGCTGCTTCTGCATGGCTGGCGGTTCCAAAGGCTCTGAAGTTACTGGTGTGTCCCCTGTCCTTTACTGGGCTGTGTCAAGGATGAGTGCCTGTGGACAAAGAGGTCAAGGCCTGTTGTGAGCCAACACTAAGCAGTCATTCGGCTGGACATGGTCATTACAGCCAGCAGATGGGGAATGGTTGACAGGAAGGGAGGACAAAAAGCAGTAATTAAAGAACATGAATTTGGTTTAATTACAGATGGACCTCTTTTCTACTTCAAATTTAAATTGAAAATGGCATGCAAATCCATCATTCATCAAAAATACAAACGATCAAGATTCAGCAAATTAAAACGTTTAGTAATTGGGGGGTGGAGAACAGAAAAATAAAAAAGATGTTAAAAAGACAAGGGAAGTTCAGTATGAGGAAACAGGAAACGGAGAGGCTGTGGTCCTCTCCCTCCTCTGCATTTGAAGGAGAGTATTGGGAGCTGCTGTCCCTCTTGTTTCTCTGTCCTTCAAACCCTTCTTGACAGACAGATTAAAAACAGTATTCCACAGTGGTTGCCGGAACTCACCTGCCCAGGAAACACAGACCACATCGACTATCACCTTTCAGCTCTTCCTCAGCTACTGTGTCCTCTCAAGTAATTCAAAACCCTTCAGCCATGACAGGCATTCAGCCAAATTCATCCCGCAGTGTCACAGACATCCACTTAAAGAGAGGAGCCAGCCTGGCTGCCCGGAGCCTGGCGATGCCTGGAACGCAACGTGCCGCTGCCAGCCAGCAGCCTCTGTACCACGGGAGCTCTGCCCAGCTGGGCCGTTTGTCACTGAAAACCTGGCAAGGCAAGAAAGGAAAGCACTTCATGAGGTTCATGTTTAGTAGACAGGGTCCCCTCTTCTCTGATTTAAGGCCCCAGTCCAGCAGAGAGCTTAAGAACACAGTTAAAAATAAAGGGAGCTGCTCATTTGCCTACAATGAAATTCTGACTTGTAAAAACACTCGTTTGGAAAGAGGTGCTGGCTTCCACCTGAGATACTAACTCAATCCACCCCATCAGAGGCCTGGCCAGCCATCCCCATCAGCAAGTCCTAACAAATAAAGTCACTTGTGGAGTCAGGGAAGGGACTTTAAACGGTGACACGTACATTAATTCTTTATTAATTATGCCATATGCCACTCATTCGTGAGTTTCTACCTTGTACTTTGACCAAGACAAACAGGACTTAAGAGGCAAGCAGTGAGGCAGCAAGAGGTTTCCTTATATGAAGCATTTTACACCCTTAAAGTAATCTGTAAGCTGATCAAAGTTTAAAAGTGGAGAAAATCATTGCACATTTCTTACAAAAATTACCATATTTGAATCTCTGTGTGGATGAAAGGGGCTTTTAGTGAGATAAAGGTAAGAACCAGCTTCTGTCCCCACTCGGTCCACCAGTATCTACAGAAAATGGAAAGGAAAAAATATTCTAATGAGTTCTAGTCAGACAAGTAGCTTTCGTTTCCACGAAAATTAGCTTAACAGTAAATGACAAAGGAATTTATGAAGATTGTAAACCTGGCAGTTAAAATAATAGAGCAGATAAGATTCCTGTCAGCAGGTATAAACCAATTCCTTTCACCTCTCTGCAGGCAGAGGGTTTGTCACCTCTGCATGGATAATATTGACTTTGCAAATACCTTTTCATGCAGCATTTTACAATTACAGTAACACATACCCAAGCATGTTCTTCATATCTGATTGGACAGCTAATCTCAGCTTTCGGTGGAGCTGCTCAAATACCTGCCAGGAATTTTATTTAGATAGTGCCTCACCCCATACCTTTGCTTTATGAGCACAGAACTGGATCTTCACTTGACCTCTGAAGTGTTTATCCTCTTCTCTGCTCTATCCATTCATCGCAAATTATCCAACAAGCACCTGAACAACAAATCGGTCACCACAAATTCTCTCCACCCCTAATGCCCACTGCCGAATGTCGTGCTTAAAGACTCTGCCCGGGTTTTTACAGGTAGAAGGGACTTCTTCCCCAGGGCACTGCTTTGTTCCTCATTTGCAGCTCTTTTAGACACCTGCTATTGCGGACACTAACCACAAGGAGCTGAGGCTGGTACTGGGAGCAGACACATTTCCCCCCAAGCTCTTTATCGTTCTCTTCTTGCGTTTTGCATCTCTTGCTCGCCAGTCTTCAAGGACAAAGACTGTGTTTCTGCACTCTCTGGACCCTGACCCTTGCTACAGCACCACTGTAGCAAAAAGCACCAGAAAGAAATTGCCTGAGCCCTAAAGCTGTTGTGTGATCTCTGGGAGAAGGCACGGGTCTTTCTGCCAGAGCAGTTACAGCTCCACTGCACTTCTGCTGACCCACACACTAGTCTGACTCAGCAGCAGCATGTCAGCGACCCTAATACTATTAAGAAGGGGAATTGGGATGTGGGGGGAATTGGCTGAGTGGGAGAGATTCCAGGGAAGAGGGAAGGAGCCGGGACCTGTCCTGATAAGCCTGCCAGCAGCAGCAGCCCCCCCCCCCAACATCAGCAGGATGTGTTGGTCAGGCCTGTAATGTGTCCTTCCAAAAAACTCCCTCCTTCCTCTCCTGGAGGAAGCTGGTTACAACAGGGAAAACTTTCAGCTGCTTTCCCACTCCTGCACGTTCTCCTTCCTATCTCGCTGCCAGGAACACAGCAGAGCAGCAGAGGGGACAAAGTGAAATGGGACCGTTTCCCTCTGCTTCCCCAGTACTTCCCATTCCCTGATGTCACCTGAACACGTGGCCTGACCCTGCTGTCACTGGCACGGGGACAACGGGCACAGATAACCTGGCTGCTCTGAGCTGGCTTCTTCTGCCTTGCAGTCCCCTCTGCTGGCAGAGCACGCTCTTCCCATCTGCAGAGAGCACTGCTTGCTCTCACCGCCTGGCCAGCAGCACCGTGAGCTGGTGACACGACCATCTCAGCACATGTCAGCCAGCACAAGAGGGGAAATCAGCATGGAAATCAGGCTGCAAGTGGGAAGAGCCCCAGGCAGGGTCTCTGGGGCAGGTAGAGGGAGGGAGGGAGACCAGGGTAATCTGGCAAAGCCACAGTGCAGGACAGAGGCAAGTACCAAAATACCCCTTTATACAGTCAGAGAGGCCCCTTGTCACTCCCACGAGAGCTGATTCGAGAAATTTTGGTGGGAAAGCAGCATGAGGGGATTGAAAGGCTGGAGCAGAGTCAGCTGTCGGGCTTGGAGCTGTCTTGCGGTTTCAGAAAAGCCAGGGGACTAACCCGTTTGTGCAAAGCACTTGCAAACATGCACGCTGGATGGCAGCCAGAGCTGCTAGAATTGACATACGATGAGATAAATATGCAAGCAGTGAAACTCGTTATGAAAACCTTTGCTGTGTTACAAAACTCTAATCTTTCACCACTGCGAACGGCCTGGTACTAATAGCCAGAACGAACACGTTCCACCGTGACTCTTTCGTGCCCGTGCAATAAAGAACAAACAGCCCAAACCTCTAGAGATGCTTTCACCACTTTCACCAGTGATTTATGACGCAAGCACCAACAAACCTTTTTCACCTGTTTTCTCCTCTTTCCCTCCCACCTTCAGCACTTGGCCACCTTCATCATGGACAAGAGTGAGTCCATCGTGACGGTGGATGATGCCATCCGAAAACTCATAATGCTGAACTCTAAAGAGAAGATCTGGACGCAGGAGATGCTGCTTCAAGTGAATGACAAGTCCATCCGCCTGCTTGACTGCGAGTCGCAGGTACCCAGAGCACTCCGTGAGGGTGCAAGTTAACCTGGGGCGTGCAGTATCCTCTTCCCCTTCTGCTTTGGGGAGCCATTTGTGAGGAACCCAAACAAGGCGAGATCTCTAACAAAATCCACTCTGGGGCATGCAGGGGCTGGCTGACTGTAATTAAAAGGACAGGCAGGTGTGGGCTGATTATTCATGGCTCCAGAGCACAGAGACTCCATATGGAAGATCCCTTCAGCTGTGCTCCAGGCAAACAGTAAAACTGCTTTCCATGGGAGTGCAGACTTACAGGTCCACAGAGACCTGCATATAGCATGAGCAGAGAGGGAAGGACCTGTTACTGGTATTAAAATAACACGCAGGGTCCCCTGCTTGAGAACAGTGCCCCATTTTGACAGCAATACATGTACGTGCACGCAGGGCACATAAATCTGATGGGAAAGAGCAGCCAGACAGTAGGAGAAGGGTGGTTCTGCCCTGCGTTTAGCAGGGAGAAACTAAAAAGATTTGCCCAAGGTCATCCAAGAGTCAGTGGAAGGGCAAACTCCTCACTGCCATTAGCCTGAAAGCATCTTTCCGCTGGGATGCTGCGATGCACGATACTGGGGCAGGTAAGGCACATCAGTAAGATGACAGTGAGCAAGAGAGCTCAAGTTGTTCAAGGCTCCCACTGGGCCCCCGTTTTCAAGAACTCAGGAGAACAAGAGTTCTGTTTTTCATCCACCTCTTTCCTGGTCCTATGTAGTCCCAAGCCACTGCAGACTGTGACACGAGTATTTGAAGAGCCCAGCAAATCCCTGTTGAGAAGCACAAGCTCTGTCAGTTCTCTCTGCTCAGGCAGGGATCCCAGGAGTTCTGTAGATCCCCGTTGCCCAGCCTCTTCCTTCTTTTCCAGGAGGAGCTGGAGGACTTCCCGCTGCCCACAGTCCAGCACTGCCAGACGGTGCTGAACCAGATGCGCTATGCCTCCATCCTCCTCCTGGTGTGCCAGGATTCGGAGCAGCACAAACCTGACATCCACTTCTTCAACTGCGACGAGGTGGAGGTGAGCAGAGCCCTCCTTGCCAGTGGGATGCAAGTGGGTGCGCTGCAAGACGGGGCTACTGTGGCCTGCAGCTGGCTTGCCCAAAAAAAGGGTCCATCCTAAGCCATCCCTCCCACTCTGGTAACAGAACAAGATACTCTCCCAGCTCTCTGCCAGCCATTTCTTCCTTTGCCCACTTGGAGCCTTCAATTCAAATTTTCCAAAGCACAGCCCTTTAGTGAAACATCCCTGTTTTATCTTTAAGGCGGAGATGGTCCATGAGGACATAGAAAGCGCCCTGGTAGACCACAAGCATGGGAAGAAAGTACGACCACAGACACTCAAGTAAGTACTGCAGGGTAGAGCTGGGATCCCCCAAATCACATCCTCTGCAGAGAACACTCAGTGCAGTGACTGCCAGGCCAGCCTCCCTCTTCAAGAGGACCCAGACAAGCAGCTCACTCATGCAGGCTTAGCTGAGGTTCGCTGCTATTTATGAAAAGGATATGAATTTTGGCTGTCCTTTTTATTTCCTTGCTCAAAATATATCCTTGGTTTACATGCCTGGGAACAGAGTCTCCATCTCACATAAAGCACCCCTAGGAGATTTTACACCCTGAAGCAAATCACTCTGAGGGAACTCTTCTGCTGACAGGCTTCGAAGCAGGGCTCCTGGCTGCCGTGATAGACCCCCACAATGGTTTGTGCTGCTGACTCTGTGCAAGGAATCTCACCGGCCTCACAGACACTCCCTGCTCTAAAGCACCAGCCAAAACAGTGCACAGGCCTTCCAGACCACATGCTGCAAGCTCCATTTAAACCAGTCAGGTGCTGCAGCTCTCCTTACCCAAAGACGCTTGCTGTACCCTTGCAGCCACCTCTCCCAAACCTGCAAGCCTCGGGGCACAGGGGAAAGGCAGCCAGAGCGCACAGCATCACCCCGAGCACGCAGCCCTACTCAGGCAGGTGCACTTACACACTGCTCTCTTGGGAATAGGATTGTCAGCCTCTGACAGAGGTTATTCTGTGTTGTTTGCCTTGCAGAGCAAACCAAGAAAAGAT